CCGGTGCATCCGAATACAGTGACCACATTGCCCGAAAAACTGCATCGTCCACCTGTTCCCTGAAAATCACAAAAACCAAATAAACAGAATGAGGCCTTGCAGCTATTCAAAGTGTCTGTGCTCTGGACCTAACAACCGGGGAACCTGCCACCACAAATTTTAAGGTGTTCTAAAGTGAAAAAGATCCAAAGCAAAAACAGAAAATGCCACAGTTGTTAAAAATCGAAAAAAGCGTCGAGCCCTCGCTAACATGCCAGGAGCTTTAATGAACCAGGCTTCAACAGAAGTGATACCAATGATGTATATATAATAAAATGGTACCTTTCGGAAAGCCGCCAATGTACTGGTCGTGTCAGTCTGCCTCGGTAAATCGACTTGGCTCGCCGAGGAAACGCAATACAGTGCCCTGCCGATGGTCGGAGCCAAACTCGGCCAACAGCGAGCGCTGGACAAAACAAGCATTCAGGCCGCCTGAAAAAAATTTTTTTGCATCAAAATATGGGTTGCCCAAAGCTACAGCAGGCCCGCTGTTACGTATCGGGGGCCGTGCGGTAAATTTAATACACCGACTTTCGAAGCCTACGCAAAGTTTCCTAGTGAAAATAAGCCCAGACAAAAGAAGCGGTAATCCAGACTTAGCGAGATAAGTGCTGCGAAAAGCAAAAAAATCAGGATTGTTTAAAGCAGTTTTTCAGGGGACTGCCAATCTTTTTTCAACGATTACAAATCTCAGAAAAACCGCAGCGAAGCATTCTCATGTTCAGTAATTTCTAAGCGCAATCCTTAATTCTAGTCTGATACTCTTTATAACATCGAGCAAGCAAACGAACGCTCTCGTACCAAATATGAAATATTCATGGGATGTTCCAGTGCATCACAGATTAACTCGGGACGACCGCATCCCATTATTTATACGAAAATATAAACTTTCATACAAAAACTTCCATTTTTCTACAGGTGAAAATTCAGCTCCTTTTCCACAGATGAGCTTCCATTACTTAGAAGCCCAAAGATTTGCAGAGGTAGTGCACGAAAGTACGATTGGTGAACAGAGACTTCTCTTTACAACAGCAGAAAAACAACCAAGATCCCCTCCAACATCAACAATGCATTGGCGTGAATAAAAATTCAATGAAAGCGTCTGGAATTTTTGGACGATTTTTTATCCCGAACAGGAATTGCATGTATTTTTGCGCTTCCGAAAAAAATTACTTTACGTCTATCGGAAAAATAATTTACAAACAGACGTGAGGAAACACAGGCCCTTGCTAAACTCACAAGTAGAAGAGGCCCAGAAGAGAATCCAATTCCTATTTTTTAAATTCCGAGCTGGAAGAGAGTCGAACCACTCATCTTCAGTACCTAGATTAACCGCAGAAAAACACTGCGCACACTGACAAATTATTTAAAGAACTTCTTATATCAAAAAAATATTGGGATGGTCACTGCTGAAAACTAGCACCATGACCGCCCTGACCATCTGGGAGTTTGATAACTAGCGCCATAACCGCCCTGACCATCTGGGAGTTTTTGGTCGAACGCTCTATGTTTGGCCGTCTTGTCCTTTTGCTTCTAGCTTTAAAAAGAGCAGATCCTTTTAATCAGCGTTCATTTGAATGTTAACCATCAACTGACCAGTAAAAGCAAAAAAAAAAAACGTCGAAAGATTTCTTAAGTACAGTATTGAACGATAAGCATGACTGGTAATAATAATAAATCAGACGATAAGCTGCAGTTGAACAAAAATTAGAGGCAGAAATAGTACCAGCAGCATTAAATTCATAAAATCCAGTACGAAGAGATAACTTCAAGACTAGTATTTAATCAGCATGATCTCATTGAGCAAGCAAAACGACCAATTACAGAGTAGTATCACAGAAGTACTATTGCTTTGGCATTACAGCGATGCATCAGTTCATAAATGATAATTAGAAAAATGATGGTAACGGCTCAGAATAATGCTGAAACGAAAGAGAACACTAAAGCTCGGCGATGATGTAGTGTCAGCGAGTATTGCACGGTGAGTGCCGAGAGGGAGATGCCACTGCAGCATTCATCACAATTCCAATCCATAAGCACCACCGTTCTAAACAAAAAAAAATTTAAAAAGTCTTCTGTCACTATGACAACAAATATGCACATCCACAAAACACATTTCGATATGAGAAACAACAATTCGCGTGCAGACACGCACATACATACACACATACACACACACACGCATACACATATATGTACATATACGCATATACATAAGTACACATAAACATGCACACACAACACATGCCCAGGAGCACCAAAACTGTCCCAACAGTCGATAAAGGGATCTATGCTAACGACGTTACCGATATATACACAGCAAGTTCTGGTCCCTCGACCCAAAGCTTCGTCCCCGATCAACAGCGCAAAACATGGTAACTCGTTCAACACACCAGGGTTTATAC